ATGACTACCTGTTTCCTGGACGATAAATTTCACACAGTGGTCAATTTCGCCCAGTCGCTCTTTATATTAAGGCAAAAGGAAATACATGCTATTCGGGTACAACAGAGAAATGTTAGTCTTTGTAATCTTGAGATTTTGGCTTTTAACCGCTTTTACCAGGCATGCCTATAAATAACAAATGAAATGATAGATAATGTACACTAGTCAGCTAAAGGGTCAGTAGCATACTCTACAGTAAGCAAATTTTCAATATCGCAGTATGTTTGGGCTAAAAGATTTAATGGGAGGAAATATTAGTATTATCAAATATTGCTAGTTTGTACCACCATAAAATAAAAAAAAATCAAGTATAATGCATGTGAACATACACAGCAGTTAAATATAGATCATTTGAAATCAGATAAGAACACCTCTATTTACTAAATAAATAAACATTTTCGAATGTTTTTATGCCATTCTAAACTATAAAAGGCACTGCTGTTTTGCCGATGAAGAGTAAACGTTTTCAAAAAGCAAAACGATCATTTCTATAGTCATAAAGCACTTTATTTATTAGAATGGCACACAAACATTCAAACATGATGATGATGATGAGCAGATAAGATTGATTCTGGTTTTACACAAGATCACCTGACTGCTCCTGCTTGTGCGTATCATTGAGGAGAATTAAAATATTTTGTTATTATTTATATGCACAGAACCAGCTTCATTAAAGCCATAGCAGCAGAGGAGGGCAATTTCACCATCTCATGTGGAGTTTGTTGTTTCATTTTAATAAAATGTATATGAAATACTCTGTGATATAAAAAAAAATTAAATTATAAAATGCAGCACAGGGAAGATTTTTGTTCAGCTGTTTGTTGAGATATAATAAAGCTATTGATTCATTTAGTGTTACCGGTATATATATCATAGTGTGTATTTTGTAATGTAGCAAATCCAGACTCCATGCTGGACTTTCTGGTACTGTGTTCTACTTCCTTTCAATAAAACATATCGAACAAATATCTTCCAAACTCTGTGCATGGAAGCAGGCAGCACAGCTGTTAGTGACCTCCCGCAGACAGGCTGTTCCCTGATGTCCAGTCGATGATAATGAAGCTCAGACTCATCACCATGAAGGAGAGGCCCAGAGCGGCAAAACAAGCAGCCTTTAAAAAGATTCAAAAGAGAAAGACTTTACCCAAAGCATTTTGTTTTGAATTGCTATTTCAGCTGAAAAGCATCTAAAACTAGAATCTGACCATGAAAGATCTATGAAAATTCTTCATAGCTAACCAGTATTTTCGAGGTGGAGTTCATGGGTTCGTCCTCCTTGGGAACGATGCGGATGTAGAAGATAGCGGGGAAAATGAAAATAAGGCATGGAGCCGATGTGGCACCTGAAGCACAAAAAAAGACAGAAAGGTGGTCTTAGGGACTCAGGCTGCTGTTTGAAAGGCTTGGTTTAAAGTCCTCTCAGGTTCCTCTGTTGCAGACCCAGCCGCAATGCAGAAACCACTTTTAACATCAGTTACAAACCTTCCATATTTGGTGTTATACTGTAGCTGTATGAAAGCTGTGATGTTTTTAATGCATATCTTTAAATGCCCACTGCTGTAAAAGCAATTCCCCCTTTGGGAAAATAATCCAAATTAAATTACCCACATTTTCTGACATGCAGGATATCATCAATCCATTCAAGTCAGTTGGTATAAATATCCAAATGTATGTAGCAGGTCAGCATAAGAGTTGTTCATAAGCCACATATACTTCTAGTTTTATTGGGCTTTAGCAGTAAGGTGTACAATTCTTAGGAGCAGGGTTGTTTTGAAGATGTTCTTTGTGGTCCCTCATGTTTTTGCCCCCAACACACTAACAGTGGCCTCGGCTTAGAGGACACACACTGACAATAATATTGATTCTAGCTGTCACTTTTTTCCTAGAATAAACATGTGTAGGTCACATGTTTTAACTTTCAATTTGTTTTTCTTGTGTGAGCAGGAATCAATACCTAACATAACAGTTCAAATTAAAAGGTTTCGGTAATAGCCATCATTTCTGTTTTCTATGTGAAATATAATAATCTGTCTTGTTCAGAGGTAATGTTGTTTTTGTTATTTGTCAACCACGTTAATTCACACACAATAAAAATAAAAAATAGATAAAGCCATTGATTGTCAAATACTGTGCAGGTAGAGAAGCTTTAACTTCACAATGTCAGTTTTTATGTACTAACCAATAATGCCGAATATTCCCAAAATATTAGGAGCAAATATCACCAGCATGTTGATTAAGGTGAGAAGAAGGAAAGCAATGCTGGTGTGACGTAACCAGTTGAAGGACCTGCTGGGGAAAATCATCTCTTGGATGGCCCTGCGTACCTGCAGACAGAGCGCAAATATATATTGGTATATTTTGTGCGGGGGGTTTGAAGTGAAAGAACAAACAAATGGCCTAACTTACAGGGAACAACACAACTGGAACTGTCAGTGTCACAGCGGTCAGGACAGCTACTCGAACACACAAGATCAGAACATCAAAGGGATCGATGCGGTTGTAAGTATGCAGTAGCTCTGGCTCCACTTTACCTGTAGGGACATTAAAATAAAACTCATTCATAAAAAATAAAATAAAAAACACCCGAAAAATGGAAAACAATGCCTTATCACATGAGCCACCACTAGAGGGAGCCGCAAATCTGTG